CCATTCCCAAACCCATTCCCAATCCCAATCCTCTATCACATTCCCAATCCCATCCCTCTATCCCATCCCTAATCCCATTCCCAAACCCATTCCCAGTCCCAATCCTCTATCACATTCCCAATCCCATCCCTTTATCCCATTCCTAATCCCATTCCCAAACCCATTCCCATTCCCAATCCTATTCCTAATCTCATTCCCAAACCCATTCCCAAACCCATCCCTCTATCCCATCCCTAATTCCATTCCCAATCCCATCCCTCTATCCCATTGCCAATCCCATCCCTCTATCCCATTCCTAATTCCATTCCCAATCCCATCCCTCTATCCCATTTCTAATCCCATTCCCAAACCCATCCCTCTATCCCATCCCTAATCCCATTCCCAAACCCATTCCCAATCCCATCCCTCTATCCCATTCCTAATCCCATTCCCAAACCCATCCCTCTATCCCATCCCTCTATCCCGTTCCCAATCCCATCCCTCTATCCCATCCCTAATCCCATTCCCAAACCCATTCCCAATCCCATCCCTCTATCCCATCCCTCTATCCCGTTCCCAATCCCATCCCTCTATCCCATTCCTAATCCCATTCCCAAACCCATTCCCAATCCCATCCCTCTATCCCATTCCCTCACCTGCAGCTCCATTGTCCCTGTCACTGGGAGGCGTTAATATATCCTGTTCCCCTATATCCTATTTCTATATCCCATCTCTATATCCCATTCTCTATCCCATTTCCCCATATCCCATTTCCCTATATCCCATCCCCATATCCCATCCCCATATCCCATTTCCCTATATCCCATTTCCCTATATCCCATTTCCCTATATCCCATTTCTCTCTATCCCATTTTCCATATCCCATTTCCCCATATCCCATTTCTCTCTATCCCATTTTCCATATCCCATTTCCCTATATCCCATTTCCCTATATCCTATCCCCATATCCCATTCCCTATCCCATTCCCCCATCTGCAGCCTCAGCGTTCCCTTCATCATGGCAGAGTTACTAAACCCCATTTCCCGATCCCACCCGGGCTCCCGCTCCCGCTACCCTCCCGGTGCCCTCCCAGTGCACTCCCGGTACCCTCCCAGTGTGCTCCCAGAGCCCTCCCGGTGCAGCTCCCGGTGCGCTCCCGGTCGCTCCCGGTGCGCTCCCGGTGCCCTCCCGGTCGCTCCCGGTGCAGCGCCCGGTGCCCTCCCGGTCGCTCCCGGTGCCCTCCCGGTGCCCTCCCGGTCGCTGCCGGTGCCCTCCCGGTGCCCTCCCGGTGCCCTCCCGGTCGCTGCCGGTGCCCTCCCGGTGCCCTCCCGGTGCCCTCCCGGTCGCTCCCGGAGCCCTCCCGGTGCCCTCCCGGTGCCCTCCTGGTCGCTCCCGGTGCCCTCCCGGTGCAGCTCCCGGTGCGCTCCCGGTCGCTGCCGGTGCCCTCCCGGTGCCCTCCCGGTCGCTGCCGGTGCCCTCCCGGTGCCCTCCCGGTCGCTCCCGGTGCAGCTCCCGGTGCCCTCCCGGTGCCCTCCCGGTCGCTGCCGGTGTCCCGCACCTGCAGCCGCAGGGTCCCGGTGGCCGCGGC